CAGAGTCGGGGGGAATAGATGAGTGAAGTGGCCATCACAAACACTGTGCTGGGAAAGCTGAAAGGTCTGAAGGTGGATAAATCATCTGGAGCAGATGGACTACACCCCAGAGTTCTGAAAGAGATAGCTGAGGAGATTATGGAGGCATTAGCAGTGGTCTTTCAGGAAACACTAGGGTCAGGGTGGGTCTCAGCGAACTGAAAAACAGGTAATATAACACACCTGTTTAAAAAAGGAGGGAGGCAGAAGGCAGGAAGCTATAGCCTGAATTCGATTATTGGAAAATTTTAAAACCTATTATTAAAGGAGGAAATTGCAGAGTACTTCAAAGTACGTGTTAAATTGGGCTTATTCAACACAGCTTTATCAAGGGGAAGTCACGCCTGACAAATCTGCTAGAATTCTTTGAGGAGGTAATGAGCAAGTTAGACAAAGGAGAGCCAATGAACATGATCCGTTTGAATTTCTAGGCAGACTTTGACAAGGTGCTGCACAGGAACCTGCTAATTAAGGTAAGAGCCCATTATGTTAGGGGCAAGGTACTGATGTGGATAGAGAATTGGCTGACTGGCAGAAGACAGAGAGTAGGGAAAAAGGGGTCTTTTTCTGTTTGGCAACTGGTAACTAACAGAGTTCCAAAGGGGTCAGTGTTGGGGCCACAACAATTCATGTTATACATTAACGTTCTGGGCAAAGGAACAGAGGGTATTGTTGCTAAATTTGTACATGACACAAAGATAGGTGATGGGACAGGAAGCATTGAGTAAGCAATAACGCTACAGAAGGTCTTGGACAGGCTAGGACAGTGAGCAAAGAAGTGACAGATGGAATACAAATGTAGGAAAGAGTGAGGTTATGCACTTTGGAAGGAAAAATAGAAGCATAGACTATTTTCTAAATGGGAAAAGGCTTAGCAAATCTGAAGCACAAAGGGTCTTAGGAGTCCTAATTCAGGATTCTTTCAAGAGGAAGGTTCAGCTGGCAGTTAAGAAGGCAAATGCAACATCTGCATTTATTTCAAGAGGACTAGAATACAAGGACAGAGTTATACTGCTGAGACTATACAAGGCTCTTGTCAGACAGCATTTGGAACATTAAGAGCAATTCTTGGCCCCATTATCTAAAGAACGATGAGCTAGCATTGGAGGGATTCCAAAGGAAGTTTACAAGAATGATCCTGGGGATGAAGGGCTTGTCATATGATAAACAGTTGAGGACTCTGGGTCTGTACTTGAAGAAGTTTAGGGGATGGGGGATCCGATTGAAATTTATAGAATACTGAGAGACCCGAATAGACTGGACGTAGAGAAGATGTTTTCATTATTTGGAGAGACTAGCTCCTGAGGAAACAGCTTCAGAGTGAAGGGACAACCCTTTAGAAGAGAGATGAGGAGGAATTTCTTCAGCCAGAGGGTGGTGAATCTGTGGAACTCATTGCCACAGTGGGCTGTGGAAGTCAGGTCATGAAGTGTATTTAAGACAGAGACAAATATCTTCCTGGTGAGTAAGGGGATCAAGAGTTAAGAGAAGGAGGCAAGAGAATGGGATTGAGAAACATATCAGCCACGATCGGCAGAGCAGACCCGATGGGCCAAACGACCTAATTCTGCTCCTATACTTTATGATCTTACGCAGATCAGTACCACTGTCAATCTTGTCTTCTCATACCAAGGTTTTCACGAGAATGATTTTCCAACTTTTCCACCCAGTTCAGCTGCTGGAATAACAGCTGGTGTTTCATCCACGTTGAACGTAATTTGGTCTTTTATTGCAACAGTGGGTATTCTCATTCGGTAATGAGACAATTCAACCAACAAACTGTTGCTCTGCAATCTTTGCCATACTCAAGGACTGATTTCACTCACTTAAGTACATTTCTGGTGATAAGGTAATAATTCTGACTATCCGAGGACCAAATCTGATACATACTTCTGAAGATCAGTCTAGTGGCTGGTCCCTGTTCTCATGGCTCAATTGATTCTGAGCATCGTTTCCAGGACAGATTCCTTCTTCTGCAAATCTTGGACCAACTTTTCACTAACACCAAATTCCACCGTTGCGAGACAGTCATTGGTCAAGTTCGCAAACATCACAATGTCGAGCTTGAAACTGGCTTTGTATATGATTATTTCTGCCAGATGATACATTTCTGCTTATTACTCACACGACCATCTATGGTCTACTCTATGCATGCGTCTAAGATTCCCATGCATACTGTAACATATCCCATTTCAAACGTTTGATCCTGTGTGCAGACTGCTAAAGTGAATAAAACATGCAATTCTGAGGTGGAAGTTCAAAGCTGTCTCCTAAATTGAGCACAGCATTTCTTAGCAAAAAAGGGGATCAAGCTACACACAGACTATACACCTTCACATGAATTTTGGTATGAAAAGAGTTTAGGTTGTCTTATAATCATAATCTACAGCATATTGATTCCCTATTATTCAGTGGCACAAATGAAAGTTCTGCCAGCACCTTGCCACTTCTGATCACTCGTCTAAATCTATAAGCCAAACGACTGTTGACTTCACCCTCCTTGTTTCCCTCTTTTAACCCCATCTTGGCAACAATGTATTCTTGTCAGACAACCTAAAAAATCCAACTCTTCAGCCAAGAATTGTGTACTTCTGCTCCAAATATCTTTTAGTTCTACAGTTGCTTTTGTCACTCCACTGAACCATGTCAAATGTAGGAAATGCCAACAATTCCACCTTACAGACTATTTGCTTAACTGATGCATTAGTTAGAATATCAAACTTGGATCCTTCCTTGTCCAGAGATCACACTCTACAGCGTACTTACCTTCTCTCTGGAATTTAATAGCCACAACAAAAATGATAACTGCCAAGTTTAGGAAAGTAAATTAATAGCGAAATGACAAACCACCGAATGCTGAACTTTAATTGAAGTTCCAAAGATACAAAATATATATATGACAAGTACTAAATTAAGGAATTTCCTTATTAACAAAAATCTACTCTGCAAATACGATAAAGATTCCCCAAGTATTTTTGAAGTTTATCATTTTGGAACAAAAAAATAAAGTTTCGTACTTCATATCTTAATGACGAAATGATACTAAGAAAAAAAAATGTTTTGACCTTGCCATCCTGGAGCACAACGTACTCTATCCTTTGCAAAACCAATCTTTTCAATCTTGACTAATCACCACTCAACTCTTTTGTATTCACGACCAGGTTAGACTATACAATGCCAGCACAGAGGTGGAACATTGATCCCATCATGTATGCCCTGCCATTCAACGGGATCATTGATGGGATCTGATAACACAATTTCACTTTTCTGACTTCTCCCCATAACCCTCAATTCCCTGACTGGTTAAAAATCTATCTGTCCATCTCAGCCTTGAACATACACAATGACCTAGCCTCAAATGCCATCTGTAGTAAATAATCCCAGATTCATAACCCTCAGAAGAAATTTCTCCTTCTTGCTGTCTTAAGTATGCAACTCCTGATTATGCCCTCTGGTCCTCAACTCTTACATAAGGTGGGGGACCACAGACACCTCTCCACACCTACCCTGTCAAGTCCCCCAACATTCTTCTAAGTTTCAGTAGCGTCGCTCCCATTGTTTTAAATTCCAATCGAGTGCAGGCCCAACCCACTCAACCTCTTCTCTTAAGAAAACCACTCCTTACCCAGTATCAACTTCAGGAACTTTCTCTGGTCTGCCTCCAATACCAGTATACATTTCTTTAAATAATGGGCCCAAAACTGTGAACAGTGTTCCAGCTGTGGTCTGATTAGTACCTTGTACAGTTTTACAAAGACCTCCTTATTTTCATTTCAAAGGAAATGGAGGATAAAGAATGGCATTCCATTTGCTTTCCCGATGACCGAGGGAACATATATGCTAGCTTTTTGTGATATATGCATTTGTATTTCCAAATCCCTCTGTTCTGTACCTTTGTGCAGTCTTTCTCCCTTTAAATAACATTCAATTCCTTTATTCTTCCTGGCAAATTGCTTAACCTCACATTTTCCCACATTATATTCCATCTGTCAAGTTTCTGCCCACATACTTAACCTGTCTACATCCTCCTGCAGACTCCTTAGGTCAGGTTAATAGCAACTGCAAAGGTTAAATACTCATGTTCTTCTTCTATCCTCTCCTAAGCAGAGGGATTCAGCAGCTAGATCCTCACTCTAAAATAAGATTCCACGGTACAATAGGCACAATTTATTTTTGTACTTTATTTTTCAGGGGACTGTCAGAAAGCCTTAATAACCTAAAGGCTTCTATCTTGCAAAATTCTCTGCTCAGTATCAGAGGAAATAAAGCAACCTTCCAAGAATTCCTGTTATTAATGTCTCTTTCAAATCATATATGCACTGACTTATCAAAGCACTAGGAAGTCTGCTAAAAAACCCATGAAGAAAAAACTGTCCATTTTAAACTGCTCTTTAAAAAGTAATTAGGAACAGAAGAAAATAAATGAAAATATTCTGTGTCTGCAGCAGTAGGCTTCAAGTTAAAAAACATGATATCTGAAACTGTAAGGAGCCAAGTTAAGCCATATGTCTACAGCATCAAATGAAGAAACAAGTCATCTGGAAAAAATGGAGTGAAAATAAGAAAATAAAAACAAAACACATGTGCCTCCCTTCCCTTCTAATGTAGCACTGGTTGGACCGAAAGCATGTTACCATCCCACTTGCTTATACACTCAATATATTCATTTTTACTTCAAACATTCACACAATATGTTTTCTAATTCATGGAAAAGCTTGCCAGTAATCCTTCTATGGTCTAATAAATTAAACAAGTAAGAAACAACTAATCCAATACTAAGTGTTTAAAGGATCTTGTAATTTCTAATCAATCTGCAAAACATTACAAGCTTATTCTGTGAATTTTGCAGCTCTAAAATGCCATTTTGATTGTCGAAACACGATCGCGGAAAACACTATAAGTTCAAAAAGCTGTAAAATGAAAGCTTGAAACATAATATTAACAAGTAATAAAGTGAAAACCTGCTGCAAGGATTCATCTGTAAGCTTATCCTGGTTTCCCACATGTACTTTCTGAAGAAAAGGGCAATGGCAAGCAATTGCAATGAGAGAAATGTCACTGAGCTGTTTGCATCGATATGCAATGTATTTTTGCAATCCTGGACTTTGCGATGCTATGGAACTCACTCCTATATCAGAAATACTCCGACAATCAGAAACATTAATTTGGATTGTGTTTCGATTCTTTGAGGCGATTCGCATAAGCACATCATCGGTGATCTGCCAAGAAACAAGACAATAAATGATTTTTTTTAAGCATAATGCATTCAAAAATTAATCCAATCACCATTAGTGTTTGAATATCATACCAAAACACAGCTTGTTCAATTTCCATCTGAGGACTTATACTTTCTATGACTGATAGAAAATACTTCTTGCAGGCAATGATCACATTAAAAAATCTAATAAGATCATAAAACCTCTCACGTTAACCCCTTGCTGTTGTTATCAAGTGTGAATGTATGAGAATGCCTCATCTTGCAAGATATGGTAAATAAACTATCACACCTTGAAACAAAAAGGACACCTAATATTCAGTGCCAACATTAAACACCCATAACAGGTGTAACACAAGCAGAACAATGCAACAAAAGAAAAGTCTCCTCCACTTTGGCCCATCAAGCTGTGTAAAGGCAATAATTAGCAGTTTTCCTAACTAGCTAATTCCCCAGGACTAAAATAACCTTTTTAAAGTGACAGCACCATCACAACTCCAAGTGCAGTCTCATCAAGACACTCTATAACTGCATGACATATCTATTATTTGAAATCCAAACCTTAAACTAAACTGGATTAGCGAGAAACAAGCTGCATATATTCTTTCAGGGATGCGAGCAAAATTGGCAAGGCTAGCATCTTTTGATGATCCCTAATCTTACTTGAGGCGAGTGGGTTACGAGGGCAATTTCAGAAGGCAGTTAAGAGTCAATCACATCTTTCGGGATGTGGACTCACTTGTAGGCCAGGTTTCCTAAGGATGGCAGGTTTCTATCCCAGATGGACATTAGTGACTCAGTATTAGTATTTATGACAAATCAATGTCTCAGGAATGGTGACCATGAAATGAGCAATCTTTCAATTCCAGATCTCCAAAGTCGGAAATAGTGTACGTGAAAACAATGAGTAACTCCATGCTGTAAAACCGAGATGGTCATCCTGAGCATGACAATACTTGTTGAATAATTAATAGCCTGCTTTAAAAGAAAACGCCAAATTTCTATTCAACTTGTAACTTCCACCATTTGAAACTGTTTCAGTCATTTGTTCCAGGCTCAAACCCAGTATTACAATAAATCCCCTAATGTTCTGTAAAGATTGAATGTGAAATAAAAATTGCTACTTCATTCAATGAGGAAAAGACTTCTCAAATTAATTTGCCAGCTATGTTAGGAAACTTATGCATGCTATTTTGGGCTGCCCTAAATGGTAAATTATTAAATGAGGTACAATATTATTCCACATTAAGTGAATGCATGCATTTTTGAAAACGATGAGGCTAAAGTAACAAATTTTATGGATTCAAATTCAGTGACAAGTTTTGATTTCCCATTTTGCACAACTAATTAAAATTTACAGTTGCAAGCTTTACAAAACCTCTCTTGTGAATCATTCATTTCAATAGTCAGGAAACAAATGCTCATCAATAACTCTATTTTCTGTCAGGTCTACATCCAGTTATCATTTCACACAAGGTTACACAAAGGAAGGATAGAAACAGGAACGTTATCCCACTCAGCCCTTCTAGAGTTCAATCAATAAACTATACTAACAAAATATTACCCTCAAAAACTGGAATTAGTGACATGCAATTCAGAAATGCACCAAGGTGGATTTATAACAGCACAAGAAGTACAAACAGAACTAAGTCATGCAATGTCTCAAGCTTGTTCCAAAATGGAGCTCCACTTTTCTGCTTGTTTCTAAGAACTCCACACTCCCCTATAGTTCAAAAATACACCTATTTTGCTTTAAACATATTAAATTACCTCAGGCTCCAGAGCTTTAGAATAGTGAATCCAAATAAAAAGAAAATCCTATTCATTTCTATCTTAAATGATACAGCCCAGCATGTTCAACCTTCCACTCAGACAAATTCTTCAGGTCAGAAATCAACCTCAACAACCTTCTCTCAACTACACTATCGTCAGTGCAAGAATATCCCTCCTGAAAAAAAGAACAAAAAAACTCAATTCAGTATTCTAGATACACAGTCTCACTAATGAACAGTACTGTTGTAGCATGACATTCTCCATAACAGCCAACAGTTCATCTGCCTTCCTATTTGGTTGCTGTACCTGCATTATTATGCCTGTGCGGGCATAATGAGTCTCCAATTTTTTAACATGGCATTCCTTTTTAAAATGGACTCTGAGGAACTGTAAATTGGCTAGCAACAGGACACATAGCTTTAAAATTGTGTAAGTTAACTATGCTTTTGGAAACTTTCAAACATGATCATAATGGGCATCTCAATACTGTACAGCACACTTCTACAGAACTCCACACCTGATATTGTCAAGGATTATTCAAGAACACAGGGAGAGTAAGATCCCAAATTCTGAGTCCAGGTTTATATGCGAAAAAGATGGCTATTGAGACAAACTATCCTCAATTGAGTGCTAAATAAATCCATCTTTTCACATTTTGCTATGTAATCGATGCTACATTGTTACAGTGAAAAATTACTAATTGCCTTTCACTGGGTGTCAATGCTCATGCATCATTTGATCGAAACTGCTCTGCTTTTGACATACTTGCTTTTCCTGAGGCAATCTGCAAACTAGCATTAGCAACATGGCAACTGCACAGAAAGGCTGCATTATTTCGGCCTGGGAAGTTACGCTTTGCAGTTCATCTTTTAAAAGTCTCCTTGAACCTAATCTAAAAACTCTGAGTTCATCTGCAAAGAAATTTGACCTCTCATCACAAAAGTCACCAAGCCTTGCCCATACAACTGATAAACAGTCTGTACTTCAAAAATAATTCTACAATTCATACTGATTAGGCTCCCTGCCTCTGTGCTTATCTGAATTTTAATACCTATTTCACTAGATTCTTCAAGGACACATGAGCTGCTAACTCACATTTGGTTTCTTATTATGTCCAGAAATGCACTACCTTCTTTAATGGGGTTTTTTGGCCATATGGTGTGTGTTTGACATAGCAATAGACTTCCCTGCTGTGAGCACGTGTGAACAAATAATTCTCCTGGTCCGAATCCATAAAAATCTGTTGCTGTTGACTTTTAAATTTACCATACACTAACCATGTTTTGGTAACACACATCAGCCTGATCAACATTAAACGACATAGATTGGAATCAGAAGGAGGTGGAGAAGGATTTGGAGGCTTCAATCCCTGTCCCACGCCATGCATAGCACGATAAATTCTTGTGATTCATACCTAGCACAACGATATTCAGATCACACAGTAGTGTAAGATTCTGCACTATTTCTCCTTTTAAATAATCATCTGTTCTATTCTTCCTATCGCAATGGATAGCCTCAGACTTCACCAGTCACATTTTATACACATTCACTTAACTTATCCACATCCCTTTGCAGGCTGTGACTTCTCACAACTTGATTTTCCAACTACGTTTGTATGATCAGCAAATTTAGTTACAATGCAGATGTCTTTTCATCCAAGTCATTAATATAAATGGTCAATAAGCGAGGCCCCAGCACCAATTCATGCAGCTCCCCACTAGATATAGTTTGTAATCTGAAAATGACCCATTTATCCCAACTCTGTTAGTTAACTAATTCTAAGATATTACCTAAAATATGATGTATTCTTTTGCACTTACCTGAATAGCTAATTAATAAATGCCTTCTGTAAATCCAAAAAAAAAACGACAACTTAATGTTTCCCCTTTATCCACCATGCCAACCTCATCTCAAAAGAGCTTTGATAAAATTTATTAAACATTATTTCCATTTCATAAAACTATGCAGGCTTTCCAAAGGTCCTTCAGTGACCTACTTATGCATGGAAGGCGGAATTTTCCAACTGACAGGTGTTAGGCTAATTGGCCTTTAGTTTTCTCGGCCTCTCTCGTTTATTGAATAACAATGTTAAATTAGGGGTTTTCCAATCTACTGGGACATGTCAAAAATCTAGAGAATTCTGGAAGGTTACAACTAATGCACTCACTATCTCTGTAGCCACTTGTCTTAACAACGGAGGATGCAGGCCATCAGGCCAAAGGGATTTGTCAGCCTTTATTTCCCTTAGAATGAAATACAGGGCTAGCTTGTGTTGTACTTTTTCCTCTGGTGAAGTTTCTCCCGCTCATTTGCCCCCTGCCTTATATTATCGAGATGATTTTTGTCCTCAAGTGCATCAAATCAACTTCAAAATTACTTATTCAAAGTTTCTGCCATTTCCTCATTTCCTACTTCTTCCATCATCTCATCCATGAAGGAATCTACATTTACTCTAGCCCTCTTATTTCTTTAACCCCTACAAATGCTCCTGTGTTATTTTTCTTGCTAATTCACCCAGTCAATTTTCTTCCTTTTTCTAAATGCATCAATTGTGATTTTCTAGTACTTGACCTATCTTCTGGCCTATCAAAAATCTTTGCAACATTCTGGCACTTGATTAGAGATCATAAAAATAGGAACAAAATTTTTAACTGTTTAAGAACAGATCCAAAACAAGATAATTCTAGCAACAGAACAATGAGCTATTAATCCAAATGTCATTGACTCACAGAGATCAACAATCAGGTTAGAGACAATCGTGCCACCACCTATTAACTAAATCATTTGATGCCTCAGAAGTTGCTTTGAAGAACCTTTTACCAAAATATACCTTCAGAATTTAGGAAACCAACATTTTCACAAATCAGAACCGATTCTATTCTGCCTTCGGCAAGTGACACTGGAGTATAGTTACTTCAATGACTGATCAGGCAGGAAATTCCAGCAGATTTAAAATTATATTTAAAACTAACAAAATCTAGGACTTAGACTGAAGGGAGAGAGAAACACAAAAATAAAAGGAGCACAAAATTCAATCCCTCAAGCCTCTTCAGTCATTCAACTAAAGTACAGCTAACGTGCACCTCGATATCAATTTTCCACCTTAGTTCCAGATCCCTTGAAACAAAAAGTCATTCATCTCAGTTCTGAAGTTTTTAATTGATTTAGCCTCACCTGTTTCTTAAAGAAAATGGACTGCAACAGAAATATCAATTATTAGAGGAGCAATCA